TCTCCGCTACCATCACTACCATTATCTGTTCCGCCTCAACCTCCATCAATATCTCCGCTACCTTCACTACCATCGTCTATTCCGCCTCAAACTCTATCACCACCTTCGTCATCACCACCTTCGTCATCACCACCTTCGTCATCACCAACTTCATCATCACAATCGTTGTCATCACAACCACAATCTTTGCCATCACTACAGCCGTCAAACAATACAGAGCAACAACTTGGTCTTTTTCCTCCTAAGGAAGTACCTTTGCAAGCCGATAATTCCATAGACATTCTCGAGATCCTAAAGTCAACCGTTCAGATTTTTGATAAAAAGACCATTATGTTTGGATCAAATCGTGCTTATAAAAGTTCAAATAATTTACGAGTTGATTCAAAGGTAAGTATGCAGGTCCCCAGAGAGAGTGTCTATGATGCAGAGATGTACAGAATCCTGCATAATTGGCTTGCAAAGGTGCATAACTACGAAATCACGGGACAATGGCACTTAGAAGGTGTCAGTGATGATGGTAAATACCGTCATCTCTATTGCGACCTTGTGGTAAAGAAAGAAAATGACGATAAACCCGTAGCACTTTTGGAACTTTTGGTGACTGCGTCCTCACCAACATTAGAAGAGCACTATGAACAAGTGTTAAGATATGCTCAACAACTCTGCCCATTAGAGGTATGGGTTGTTCATTTTTCACGTGAGGACGACGTTGCCAAAAGTCCCTATTGGCCACGTGAGGAGAAGAGAATAAATGTCGTGCATTTTTGGCACGACAAAGATTTTTCCAATGTTCGTATGAGTTATCGGACTTTAGATAACTCTGGTGGCTTTAAAGAAGTCATCGATGCACAAGTCCTTCCTTAATATATTTTTAAGCATCGGCGGGTTCCAGTATTTTTTTTATTTCTATCCCTTATTTTGATTTTATTTTATTATTTTATTTTATTTTTTATTTCTATTATTTACTACTTTATTTTTTTTTTATTTTATTTTGTAGATTTTTTTTTTATACTTTAGTAGATATAGATATTTTGTGTAATTAAAATTGATACTTATACAGTATCACAAATACAAATGCGACATTGATACAGTACTAAGAGACTAAGTTGGTCTTTTGATTATCTTTACCTACCGTACAAACACGAGTTAATACTTATAGGCGTTATTTTGAAAATGAGAACTTTATCCCAAATTAATGCGCATCTAAAATAACGCGTAAATTATTGGTGTGTACACTGGCGATCACATGTTTGCATCACTCATATTGATGAACTTAAAGATCGAATAAATTTTTCAACTAACGATTGATAATTATAAACTTTACATATTTTGTTCAGGCTAATGCGAATCTATCGTTTTTATTAACTTTATTTAAAAAAGAATCGATCAAAAAAAATATTTGATTTTTTACGATGCATTTCTTGCTAAATTTAAATTTTGCGAATTATAAAAAAAAAATAAAAACAAAGTAAACCCTAGCATTATAATGATAAATTTAAGTTTATCCTTTTTTTAAAAAAAGTTTACTATTTAGTGTAACCCCTTTGTCAATTATACGTTGAGGCATGCTTTCAATAAGCTTATCAAGACTAGGGATGTTATCCTGCTCCAACCGGTTAGTTTGTGCTTAATAACCCGTTTGAACACTTTTCGAAGCATTTACATGAAACCGATTTCCGAACTTAGTTCATATCAATGTACTAATAATTATGCTCGATGGATTTACATAAAAACTGATTTTCAAAATTAGTCACTAGTAATTATGCTTGCATGTATCGCTATCACTTTTTATTAAAGCAAATACATAAAATTTACATTTAAAATGTATGTATTTTATGTTATTGCATTTATTGCATCTATCGCTATTATTTATTTATCTAATTATTAACTTTAATTACAGTCAATAATACCCGCTTCATACCAGGTCTTTAGGCAGTGGCTTGTGGAGATATTTTCTTCAGACAGCCTGTTACGTATTGGGTTGAATAAGGTTTATTGCA